GAGGGGGAGGGGGGGAGGGAGGGAAAGGGAGAGAGGGAGGGAGAGAGTGGATTGGCCGCGCAGTGCGGTAGTCACGGCACGGCAATGGTGCATTGCTCGCTGACGGACTGAGAGAAGGGGAAAGGGGGGGGAGGGGGCTTTGGTTCTGCATCGTGTTTCTGGGGGCTCGGTTCGGTCCGGCTCCGGTTCTTACGTACCGGACGATAGTGAGCGACAAGAACACGTGGATGGTGAAGGGCGGGGCGTTTGGGCTGCAGGCCGTGTCGTTCTTCTGGGGATACAAGATCGTGACGGGGCTGGGCAGGGGACTGGCGGCCAAATTCTGCGGACGCAAGGACCTTGCAAAGACCTACTGACGGACTGACTGACTGAGGGCGTTGGGTGGTCTGACCTGATCTTGCTGCCTTGATCTTCTGTTTGGGTGCCTGTGTATGGGTGTGTGGTGTCTTGTTTTGGTGCGGCTGCTGCCTGGCCTGGCGAGGGGGTCGCTTGTGTAAGTTGCCTGGCTGGCTGGTCGCTTGGTCGCTCGGTTTTGCTGACTGACGGACGGACTGTACAGAGTGCCTGCCTGCCTGTCTGTCTGTCTGTCTATCTGCCTATATCAATCAAGCGGTCCACTGAGTGGTCTGTCTGTCAGACTGATTGCTGCATGCGGGGGCGTGGCTCTTGGTGCACATGACGTATATATATCTGTGACCGATCGATATCTATAGAGCGCTGCTGTCTGTTTGACCGCCTGCCTGCCCACACGTTTGTACGTCTATCTGTCTGTCTGTCTGTGTGGATGTAGTGAGTATGTGTGTCTGTGTGTGGCTTGGTATGTCTGCTTGCGGCCTATCCGCTGTACTGCGACGGACCGAACGAGCCTTTTCCGAGATACATCGTCCGTCCCATCCCTTCCTCTCTCTCGGGATCTGCTGGCTGGTGCCTTGTCAGTCAGTCTGTGTCAGTGTGGCCTCTTCCATTTTCGGGGGCCACACGGCACGGCCGTCCACACGTGCATGAAGCGCATGTGTGGCTGCCCATGGCGTGGGGGCGTGCGAGACGGAAGAGGCGCACGACACTGAGGGAGGCCAAATGCAAGAGTAGGAGATTGGTCCAGTGAGTGGTGTTCTCTTCCTCGGATATCGCCCATGAGCATGCAATGGAGAGAGAGAGAGAGAGAGGGAGGGAGAGGAGAGAGAGGAGAGATGAGGGGGACGGGGATGCAAGTGGATGAATGGATGGATGAAAAGTCGCTTTGTAGTAGGTGTATAATGATGGTTCTCTTTCTCGGACAAGCGACACTTTCTGGGCCTACTCTGCATTGTACAATCAGAGGACTTGAGAAGAAACAGACCTTGCTCATGACTACCTGGATGCTTGTAGTCAAGGCTTCGGTTGAAAATTGGCGTGTCCTCGGACCCATACGGCGGCTCGCCGAACTCACCCTCGGCCCGGCCAGATCAATAAACTCCAGCGTCTTCTGACAGTACTATTATTTCTTCCTCGGTGGCGTCGAGGATGCGGACTTTCGTGCTTTTCTGCGGGTGTCTGCTGGCCTGCAGTGCCTCTGGGGGAGCGCCAAAACGGAGGACGACTGGCTGGGGCCACCATTTCCGCCACCGCAGCAAGCACGGAGGCCACCACGGTTGGCATCCCAAATGGCACCACACTGGCGGATGGCATCACGGAGGACACTACCACACAAAGCCCCGCCCTCCTCCCGTATACTACGTGCCTCCTCCAGTGCACCAGGGCCCTTACCCCGCCATCAGGTAAGCCAGAACCTCAGGCAGACGCCAGCAGAAAAAAGATGGAGGTGGTGTGTATGTTTCTCAGGTGCAACGAGTTCACTGGAGAGGCTGGCAGGGACGGGCTCCCGCTACTCAAAGCTTACGACACAGAGCAGGTCCTCTTGGCAGTTGGCCTGTGTTGGGTGGAGGCTGACAGTAAGGCCCGTTTGTATGCTGTCGGGTGTGTGGACAGATTCTGCTTGGAGCCTGGAGACCTGAGTTCAACAGCGATGTGTTTGGCGACACCCCGTTGGCCAGTGTGCAATACGAGGGCGACGTGAGCCATCTCTACCTGGATGTGTTCGGCATCGACAACTCAGGGGGACCGAATGCCAAGACCATCACCATCGAAGGCGTCAAGGTCCTCATATCGACTTCCTGCCGTGAGTGCACACGCAGGACCATAGGGTGGGTGTGCACTTGTCCGTGTATGGCTGTGTGTGGGTGCGTTCGCAGAGTCAGGCTTCAGCGGAAAGGTCGTGACTGCGCAAGTGGGGCTGACCGCCGTCGACGCCAAGACAGGTGCAAAGGGCCCGCACGTGTGGTGCCCTGTGAAGGTCGAGTGCCCACCTCCGGGCACCCCTATCATCAAGTGCTCATACACACCCAGATGCGTCGCTCTGTCGGGTGCAACCATGGTCCTTGTGTACGTGTCTTTGATTTCCAGGTGCAACATTTCCCTGTGGCAGCCCGGGACACGGAGACAGGCCTGCCGTACCTAAAGGGTTACGATGCAGCCCAGGTCGGCCAGGCCACCTGCACCCCCCCTCTGTGCTCTCGTGTAAGCAGGTACATGTGTGTGTTCGTCTGTTTGGCTTTGTTCAGGACCAGATAGGGGTGATGACCTCGTCGGCATCTGACCCCGTGTATGGTGGGCAGTCGCTCGTGTCAGTGCACTACGCGGGCCGATCGCTAAAAGAGGAGGAGCTTTCGAGCCTCGACGTGGTGGGCTGGCTGCACGGACCGACCGACGGACCGACGGACGCAATGACAGACACGGAGAGGCTGGTGTGTGTGTGTGTGTGTGTGTTTGGATGGATGCAGACGTATGACACTGAGGACGACAAGCAGGTGCTCGAGGTCGTCACAGTGCCGCCCAAAGCAATCAAGGCCACGACATGCGGTCCGTGCGTGCGTGTGAATGAGTACACACATAGCCACACTCCTTGCGCCTACCTGGCTGTGTGGCTCTGCTGCCCGTGGGTGTGTGGACACACGCAGAGCTGGAGGGAACGTCGAGCAAGCACCCGATTCCGGTGGCCGTCAAGGTGACCCTTCCGAGCGGCGCTACAAACTCCAAAGTGTGCCCGGTGATAGCGGAATCCTGCGAGTGAGTCGAGTGGGAGTGGGGGCTGACCTGTCCATCCATCCATCCATCATCCGTGCGTTGTCCAGAATCTATGGCCAGCCATTGTGCATAGTCGTGTGAAGTGATTTATGTATGTGTGTGCGTGTGTGTGTGTGTGCGGTTTGTGAGGGTCTGTGAGTCCACGCATATGTATGTGCGTATGAGTGGGTATATGGCGAGGGTGTTGGAGCATTTGGAAGCCCGGAAGGGTCATGACCGACCGGCGTCTAATGAGACCAGCAGCGTGTAGCGCGATTTTCGGTCACATATCCAGGGAGGGAAGGAGGGAGGGAAGGCTCGAGGGATGCATCAGTCGATTATGGAGAGAGAGAGAGAGAGAGAGAGAGAGAAGAGAGAGACACGGCTACGGCACACACACACACACGCCAGAGAGAGTGCAGGGAGGGGAGGACACGCTTTCCATGCCCGCCGTTTTGTAATGTCTCGCTTAGTGAGTGAGAGGGAGTGTTTGGTGAGTCAGTCACTGGTGCGGATGGCAGCTGCTGGCATTTGGTACAAGTGCTTTCGGTGCGTGTGGGGATAGAGAGCAGAGGAGAGAGGAGAGAGACTGTACAGACGAAGAATGGCACCCATCAAGATGTGGCTATCGCTCCTTCTGTGAGTGAGTTTTTCTCCCCTCCCCCCCTTTTGCGCGTGCCGTGTGTGTGTGTGTGTGCTACGTGTCTGTGTGTTACAGGTGTGTATGAGAGTGCATGGACGTCAATTGCAGTGTGAAGGTTGTTCCATCCATCCAGTGTCTGTCCATCATCCATGGAAATGCACTGCCGCCATCCACAAAATTGCCGGCCATAGATCCGATCTGTCTCCGTCTCTCTGTCTCTCTCTCTCTCTCATGTGTGTGCCATGTACAATTGCGTTATACACACATCCATCCATCCATCCATACCCCCATCCGTCCACACACAGGCACTGCCCGCAACAAATCGATCTGCGGATGCCTCTCTGTCTGCTCGTCTGTGTGCCTCTGTCTCTGTCTCTGTCTGTCCGCTTCTTCCTTTCCTACTCGTTGGCCGATCTGTTCTGCTCTCTGCCCGGCCAAAAACTTAGAGAGATAACTTGTGTGGCTGGGTGGGGCGGGTGGACACACACACACAGACGCACGCGCACACACACACACACGTGTGCACACACACTCCCTTCACTCATGGACGGCACGAAGAGGTCCATGCAGTGTCACACCTCACAGGCTGGCAGTCAATGCACAATCGCAGAGAGAGAGAGAGGTTGATAGAGAGTGCGCGTCAAGCGAGAATCAGCCAAGCCAGCCGCTGGCCGTGTGTGGTCTGCGTCGATGTGTCAGGGGCGTGTCCTTCCACAGCTGTAGATGCTGCCCGTATCGTTGCCAAGACGGACATCATCGCAGCGAGTGAACAAAGGGCCGCTGGCACCACAACCGACACGACTTGCACACACCAACACGAGACAGCAGCGAATTCACCAATGGTGGTCTAACGCTGGGTAAGAGGGCGAAGACAAAGAAAGAGTCACTGACGTGCAGGCAGGTCACGGCATAATTCTTCATATCTTTACATGAGGTATGGTAGCAGAGAGTTGGTGTGTCGGTGTCAGCTAGACATAGAGAGAGACAGAGAGAGAGAGAGAGAGACCCCAAAAGGTGTCAAATCAGTCAGGCCATCGCGTGTGCAAGAAGTCGCCTCACCCGCGCCCCTTGCCCTCTGTGCAGTCTACGGAGGGAGGCGCCAAGTCATGCAGGTAGGTCAAAAACAGCTTCATGTCATGCCTCAAGCACGGCAGTCAGGTCACATCGCATCACACCACATCACACCACATCACACCCATTCACTGAGAGAGAGAGATGCACACAGCACAGGAGGTTTATCTACAGACAGACAGACACACACATCCTTGCAGACATGATCGCCACACAAGGAGCCAGTATAGCCAGTGTTGTGTGGGTGTGTGCACATGTGCACATCATGACGTGGATGGCATGAATTGGTCTTAATTAGCTGCGCTACGGGTGTGTGTTTGGGGGGAGGGGGGGGTGATGTGTGTGTGTGTGACCGGTAGGCTGTCTGTCTACACATCGACCGACGCACCAGCCAGCCAGTGAGTGGCGTCCGACCGACCCATTGATTGATCCACTGGTGTCCGCCCATCTATCCTCTTGTCTGTCTGTCTGTCTCATCTCAAAAAGCCCCCTCCAACTCCTCCTGCCTTGACAGACCATCCTCCCATCCTCCCATCCTCCCGTCCGTCCGCTAGCCATAGCTCCCATTTTCGAGCTGCTCATGGCTCCACCACCCACCCACCACCCAACAGTTCATCTCACACACACACAGGCGCGCATGCAGATGCGGACCAAGAGGAACACACAGACGGCCAGGGCAAAACAAACGGTCCCCTTCACACGCCCATACACACACACACACACACACACCCCTCTGGCTACCCCGCCCATCACACCGCCCCCCTTGCTTGCAAGGCAGACCACTACACAGCAGCCAGCGGATAGGGTACACGCATCTCTGTCTGTCCATCCATCCATCCATGCCGCCAGTCTCTCGCCACCAATTCGCTGGCTGGTTGAAAAAGTGCCCCGTCGATGATGATGCACACAGCAAGCTACCCACGGGGGAGGGGGAGGGGGAGGGAGGGAGGGGGCGGGGGAGGCAAGCAAGCGGCGCATAGGCAGGCAGGCAGGCAGGCAGGCAAAGACGGACAGACGCATCCACAGCTACGCGTATGTCTCGCTAGTAGGTGCTGCTGGTGGTGGTGGTGGTGTGTGTCATTTGCCGAACAGGTATTGCCAGAAGGTGACGTGCTGGAAGTCCTTCTTGGGGTCGCGCAGCGAATCGCTCGAATCGACGTCCTCACCCTGACCAGCACACATCCACAGACACACCCAATTCACACCCACTCCCTCATCTGGGCGTGTGTGTGTCTCTCTCTCGTACCGTCCTCTCCTCCGTGGGGTCATGTGGGAGCAGCCGCACGTCCTCCCGTGACGACACGGGCCTGGCCATGGCCTTGCCCGCCACCCGCCGTGCCTGGTGCGTGCTGCCGCTGGCCGCTGACATGTCGCTGTCCATGGCCTGCGACGACTGCTGGTCGTTGGTGTGATGGTTGAGGGTGTGGCGCGGTGGAGGGGGTGGGGGATGGCTGTGGCTGCCGGCACTGCCAACAAGCTTGCTGGTCTCGCTACTGCTCGCCTCGCCGTTGAGGTCGGGATCAGTGTGGGACGGCGGGGGCGAGTCGGGTTGTGTCGACATCTCGCTATTGGCGCGCTTGTCATCCGAGTCGTATGTGCTCACTTTGGTGAAGCCGTTGTTGGTCTGCGTGTGCAGGGGGAGGGGCGGGGGCGTGGAGGCGGTGGGCTGCTTGGACTCCGCCAGCTTGATCATCGAGTACCAGTAGGACCCCAGGATGGTCAGTGCGATGCCGCTGAGGGACTGCCATGACACCACCTCGCCGAACAGGACGATGCCGCCGATGGACTGCGCGCAGGCCTTGACCATGGCCACCATGTTGAAGGTCACGGGGTTGGTGACCTTGATCATCAGGAAGGTGGCGATGTTGATGAGGATAGCAAGCAGCCCGCTCAGCACGAACGTCCCCCACATCTGCCAGGTGTCGGAGACCGAAAAGTCCCACGGCAGCTCGTTGGCCCAGTTGCCCTCGCCGGCAATGTAGATGCAGGGGAAGAAGAGGGGGATGGCCATGGTGACGTTGTAGGCCAGCATGAGGTTCTGGTTGTTGTCGCAGACCTCCAGCACCTTCTTGATGTAGACGTTGTAGAGCGCCTGGGTGACGGAGGACATCAGGCCGAGGATGACGCCGCCGGGCGAGAGTGTGGTGGGGTCGAGGGAGCCGACGATGAAGCCGAGGACGACCACCATGCAGGCCAGGATGGCCTTGCGGCTGGTGCTCTTGCCCAGAACCACATACATCAACAGGATGTTGAACAGGATCGTCGTGCTCCGCGCCACCTGCACTCCACTCGCAACAAACACATAAGTGCAGTGCAGTGCCGAGTGACTGAGAGAAAACCATTGATCGAAGCATTCCCTCGCCCTGCCGAGCCTCTGTCTGTTCGCCCATCTCACCTGGTAAGTCGACACCTGGACATTCTTGAGGCAGGTGTTGGCAAAGGCTATCATAGCAACGAAAGTGACGGTCACCGGCAGCACGGCCCGTGCGGTCTTGAGCTTGAACTCATAGGGAGGGAAGAAGGCGAGCGAGGGGTTGCACTTGCCGACCTGCCCCATGACGACCACACAGACGAGTGCGACTATCTGCTGGAACCACGAGACGAACACGGGGTTCTGGAAGGTGCTGCTGAAGATATGGAAGTTGAGGAACACTATAGACAGGCTAATCACGAAGTAGAAAGCCATCGCTGAGAGCACCTCCTCAGCCCGACGGTCCATCCCCATCGCCATACTGCACAACGCCGACGTCGCAAAGAGAGGGCTTCAACTTGGACGAGGAATTGCCTCTTGGATGTCTGTAGCCCTCAGCAAGCCCCTCTTCACCTTCTTCCCCTTTTCTCCCCCTGCTGCGTAGCTCGCAGTGGATTGCGAGCTCGTAATTCGGAGCAACATTTGGCTGTTTTTGCTGTGACAGAATGCGTTTAGCACAGAGAATATGAGTTCAATAAGGCCCCGGTGCGTCTGCCGCTCGGGGATGAGACGGCTGTCACTTCTCGTGTCTTGGTTGGCTGTCTGCTGCTGGACAACAAGTGCACGCGGCGCCGTCCGAATCGTCGGCCGTGAGGTCTTCCCCCCTCCCCCCACAGATGGCGGCTCCGCTGCGGATCTAATCGACGGGTTCGTGACGTCAAAAAAGGAATGAGTTCATTGCAAGCGAATGTGTGAGTGAGTGTGTGTCTTGTCTCTTGCCCTCTCTTGTGCAGCAACACATCCTCCTGTGTCACCGTCGGGGCATCTCCCAACGCACTCATGGCTTTTGCCGTGATCGAAACCGACCGCCCCATGACGCTTCTGGCCGTCAAGATCCACTACGCCGCACAAGTGAGGGCGGCCCTCTCTCTCTCCATATCTCACACCGTCGAAAGCCTCACCAGCGCACCAGAGTGCGCGACGCTTCGGATCGATGGCACGGGCGAGAGGGAGGTGCCATGTGTGGGCGAGGGGCGGGTGGTGTATATCGGCGTCTCTGGCGAGGTCAGCTTGTGTGAGGTGTCGCTGGTGCGGAAGAGCGACCGTGTAGTCGTCACAGGCGGGGAGATGGCCCGAGTGCCGGTGGGGGGAGGGGTGGACGTCAGTGTGCAGGGGAAGAAACTGACCGGGGAGGAGAGAATACGCCTTGTTAACGTGCGTAAGCCTTCCTCCCCCGGCCACTCAGTCAGTCACGCCCATTAAGGAAGGGTTCTGCCTCTGTGCGTGTGGGCAGGGCAGTGTGACTTGTGGCAGCGATGAGGCCCTTCTCATGACGCCATCGCTCTCTGCTGCCTCGCTTGATGGCCCGCCACACACACTGGTGGCGTCTCAGGAAGAAACATGGAACGGCGGCGCACTGACACAGCCAGGTGTCTATCGGGTACATTCCTACAGACAAGGTCTGTTCGACTCGACAGCACTGGCTGGTGATATTGTTTTGTCCTGGTCAGGTGTGTTGGTGTGAGGGGACGGGTGGCTGCGACGATGGGGGGGAATTTGACCTCGAGACACAACTAATCATTGTGGAGCCGAGGGCTGTCACCATTGTCAGGTACTTGATCGATGGATGGATGGATGGACGACAGACATCCTGCTTGCCCTCACCATGTCCTCTGCAGCGAATCGATGGGTCTGTCTGCACCAACATCAGTCAGCCTTGCTAGGGACGGATCGGCGCTCTACATCGCAGACCCAGCCCAGCACACGTACTAGCGCCCACAAACTCCTCACGTACCACACGCACTGTCCTGTGAATGCGCAGCGTCTTCGAATACCGTCCGGGCGAGGCAAGTCTGAGAGTTGCGGCGGGAACAGGGACAGCGGGCTACAGTGGCGACAACGGTGCCGCCACATCGGCATTGCTCAACTCACCTCAGAGCGTGTCAGTCTCACCCAACACGGGAATAATCTTCATCGCAGACACTAACAACCACAGGCGCGCGCAAACGAGCAAGGGGGGGGGGGAGAGAACGCAAATGCAGCACCCTAACTCTCTCTGCGCTGGGTGGATGCAGGATTCGCGCAGTGGCGAATGGCACCATCGAGACTGTGGTTGGGACGGGTGTTGCGGGGTTCAGCGGGGATGGGGGACAGGCTACGCTGGCACAGCTGCGCACGCCCACTGACGTGCTGGTCGACAGAAACAACAACCTGTGCTGTGAATGACCGAATGGATACTGACCTACTCAGGTGCTCGTACATCTGCCGGTGGTGTGTATATCTGTCTGTGTGCAGGTGGATTGTGGACAGCGGCAACCAGAGGATCAGAATCGTGTCACTATCCACAGGTGGGCGGGGCGACCATCCATACCACCCCCCACACCCTCACGACTCCCCAATGTGTGTGCACAGGCATCCCCGATGAGGCGGAGGAGGTGGTCCCGGGCACCATATCCACCAGTGCAGGAGACGGCCGAGTCAGCTCAGACGGCGGCAGGGAAGGCGTCATGTCTCTCGCAGGCTCGCTCAGCCACCCCAAGGCCCTCAGTGTCGCTTTCTCGTGAGCAGCCATGGAAATAAGACATGCATGCAGCACGTCACCTGCCCTGCGTGTGTGTATCCATCGAATCGATGTCTCCAGGTATCTGTTTATCAGCAGCTCTTCAAACGACGTGCCAATCACCGTGTGGCTGGCCGAGCAGGCGGGCGTCAGACAGGTAGGTGAGGTGAATGAGACCTATGCCGATCTCTCTCTCTCATCCCCCCAAAAGCAAACACTGGCTGGCCGCACTGCAGGTGTCGCTGCGTCGTCAAGGGTATACGGGTCTGATGCGCCCCCTGAAGGAAGAGGCCATCGACGGGTCGGGGAGCTTCAGCGATGTGGGAGGGGTGGCGACGGCCAGCGACGGCAGGCTCTTCACAAGCGACAGCACCGGCGGCGCTGTACACATGACACAGACGATCGAGGTCAGTGGTAGAACTCTCCTCCGCCACGCAGACGCACAGAAACGCTTGGTTGTCTGCGTTTCTTCTCCTCCAGTATGTGGCCACCGGTTGCTGGCTGTTCCTCGGATCTCCTCCCCTGGTTCCATCGATTGAAGAGCAGCACCCCCTGCTGATGGACAATCACCTCATGCGAGTTGACCCAACCTTCATGTGCGGACAGGCGGCCATGGCTCTGGAGCTGCCAATGTTTGGCCTGCGGGATGGCGGCGTGTGCGTCGGCAGCACCGACATGCCCTTTGTGTACAAAACGTACGGACCCTCGCTGGCGTGTGAGGACGGCTCTGGGGGCAAAGACGCAATGAGCGCATATCGCTTGACCTCCAGGACGACCACAGAAGAGAATCTGTTCACTAGGGTGCGGCTGGCGAGTGTCGTGGGGTCGCCACAGAAGATGTTCTACGGCAATGACATGCTCTGGGTGGCCGGTAGGCATGGAGGGAGAGAGGCAGCGATGGATGGATGAGCGATGCACCCACCCACCGTCTCCTTGCTGTGGCTGTGTTGTCTGTGCCAGTCAGTCCCCCTTCCCCGCACATAGCCCTCATCCTGCTGTCCATCTCAACCCAGCCAGGCCAGCGCTTCAGCTGTCTGGAAGGCCAGCTGTGCTCCATCACCATCCGGGGCAACGGCCTCGTGCCGTCCATACCTCTCACCCTCCTGCCGCCATCGCTCCCCTGTGGCAGAGACGTCACCCCGTTTCCCGTGATGTCTCCCGCCATGTCGATGGAAAGCGTCTCGGGGCCAACGTCCTTTCTCTTCTCGTCCCTGACGTACGAAATCGGCCCGTTGCGGTCGCTGCAAGTCGGTACACACACGCACATGTGCTCCGTCTGTGTGCCGTTGTGCACTCTCTTTCTCTCCTTCCCCCCATGCCATGTGTGGATTGCAGTCGATGCATCAAGGAGGGAGTGGCAGTGTCCGCGAGTTCCGTATATGTCTGTGTGGCGCTGACACAGGCTGCTCTGTGAGTGAAGACTTCCGTCTCGACGCCGGGATGGTGCAGCTGGAGGGACCGATGTACCGTCACTACGAGGCGCCTGCTGGCGAGAATTTCGACCTCATTCTGAGGGGCAGCGCTCTCAGAGATGACGATGCCATTCGCGTCGTCGAGTGAGCGAACACAATGGATAGAGAGAGACACACGGGGGACGGTGAAAAGTCTTTTTGTGCGGTAAACAGAAAGGAGGCTGGATGTTCGGCTGACCCTGTCTCTGCCAGTGTGGTCACGCTTGCATCTCCGGCACGATCGTCGGGCAACGAGTCAACCTCCGTGTTCGACTCCGTGCTGTCGAGTGAAGGAGGAGATTTCCTTGTATGCTGGTGTGGCACGGCCAATGCATCAGAGCTCATGCCGCTGGCACTCACAGACAGCTGCACCTCGGCGCCCAACTTCTCTGTCGAGGTGGGCGAAGAAGGTCGCGCCAACCGAAGGAATGACTATGTGCGTGGCGGCTTACTGGTGCTTGCAGGCGTCATATCTGACGGTGATCGGCCCCCGTGGTCTGCTGCAGAGCATGACGGTTGCTGCGGGACAGCCATTCAACGTCACTGTATTCGGTAGGGATCCTGACAGTAGCTACCACCAACCTGCACACGTGAGCATGTCTGCATCTGCACAGGTCGAGGCCTCTCTGTGGCCAACCGCATTCGCCTCGTCCCCCACTTGCCTTCGGCCGATCCTCTCACTGTCTGCAGCAACCCATTTGACCCAGCTGCCACAGGCCAACTGCTCGTGTCGCCATCCCAGCAGATGACACCTTTCGGCCCGTTCCACCGTGCGACCGATTTCAAGGTATGAGAAGTGATCCATGCCGTGAGTGACACTCATGCAGCTGTGTTGTCCATTCCATTCCATTCCATTCCAGAGTGTGTGGGGCCCGATGGTTGTGGTCACACCCGGCGAGTATCAGGTTTGTTGGTGTCCGGGCACAACAGTCGCTGACGAGAAGAGCGAGTTGGTCGAGTGCTTCTCCAGCACACAATTCAGCACACGGGCAGGAGGCATCACCGTCACAGGTGTAAACGAAATCTGAGGTCTCCTTCCTGTGCAATCATCTCGCCACTGGCCCTCGTTCAGGCAGTCTGAGCCCGAGCAACGATCCGCAATATGCCTCGTATCTGGACAAGGTCACTCTCCATCCCAGCCTTCCCTCCCCCCTGCGAACCGCCCTGCCCATCCCCACGGGAGCGCCTCGTAGCGTCGCTATCACCACATGGACGCGATCCCATCCACCCGCTATCGGCAGCCGCCAGACCGGCCCTGCCCGTGTGCGCGTCACCCTGTGCAGTGCCTCCGAGTGTCTCCCGCCCGTTGCGGAGCTTACCATCCAGCCAAACTTCCATGGGTACGAGCGCGTCGCCAGTGAGGTGTTCACGCGGTCTATCGACCTCTCGGCTGCTGTCGGTCCGTCTTTTGCCGTCGATCGCATGTATCTGAGGAACGTGGGCATCGTCGCAGACTGGCCCGCCGAGCGCATCACGGTCTCCTACTCCACCAGCACCATCTCTTTCCCCATCCAGGGGTGGCTTACAGTCAATGCGACAGCTTCACCGCTGCTGCCCTTGTCTCCCCCTCTACCACTGTTCTCGTCTTCCGGTTCTGCGTTGGAGGTGGATGAGTGCGGCGGGTGGTGTTATGGCGGGTACGTGTGTGTCGAGGAGAGGTGTGTGAGCCACTGTGGCGATGGCTGGGTGACGGGAGATGAGATGTGCGACGACGGAAACCAGAGACAGGGAGATGGATGCGACGAAAAGTGCGCACGGCGGGCAGGAAAGGCAGCAGTCAAGTGACTTAGGTGAATGATGTCTCTTCCTGTGTCTGTGTGTGGTGCGGCTTTTATTCAGGTGTTCAATTGAGGCAGGTTACGAGTGCTATACGTCTCAGCCGCAGACCGCCCCGTCGACATGTCATCCCTTGGCGTGCATCAACATCCCCACGGACCCCCCTACACCAAGCTGGGCCACACTAGATTGCTTCGTGTGCAACGAACCATCGTCGCCTTTTAGCCTTACAAATGCGTCCATATCGTCCCCATACCGCGCATTCGGGTGCCATGAGCTCCCAAGCGGCCTCACGGGCCTCTGTGAGGCATCTGGGCCTTTTTCGTCTCTGTCGGCGGGAGGCTTTGATGCCCATCTGCCAACCAGAGTCCTCGAGACACAATCCTTAAGTATGGATGCCTTATCCCCCAGGATCGATGGGTGCAAGCACATTCTGTGTTGTCTGTGTCTCTTTTTATGTCTGTCAGTGGATGTGAAGGCGTGCAACCAGACCGCCGCTGTGGAGGTCTGCTTCCCCCTCGGCTCGCCAGTGCTTGTCAGCGCCACCCTCTCACGACGCCTCTCAAACATCAATCTCGTCTTCAACGCGCCGGTTGCCATCATGGCGTGCGACGCCTTCTATACCTTCTCATCCCAGTCGAGGATCATCCCGTGTGACGCCTTGCTCGACCTGGCCGCCTTAACAGCAGACTGGCGATGCCAATGGACGTCGCCCTTCCAGATATTTGTGTTCTTTCCCATTGCTGAGACGCCGCCGACGAGTGTGACGATGCGCGAGGGCCGAGTGGTGCTGCTGGCGGTAGCGGAGCAGTGGACGGACGTCAGCGGCAATGTGACAGGCTCCGGCCCTCCACTCGGATGGTTTGCCGGTGCGCAGACCGTCCCTGTGCTAAGCGACGAATCAGACTGTGGACACCAGAAGCAAGATGACAGAGGAGATGCTGCCCTCTTCCCCAGCGAATCATCACTGAGATGCCCCGTCATCGATTGGCCCGAGGCAGTGGGCGTGTCGGGGTGTTTTCCTGTCCTCCTGGACGCACTCATGTCTCCCAACACCAAAGTGGGTGGCGGCTGGCGAGGGTTGCTCAGCGACTCGGCTGTTCTGACGTACGAGTGCTTCGGTGGCTCGTCGTGTGCCATTTTGCAGCCATGGCTGGGCAACGGATGCCAGGTCAGCGGCTCGGCTTACTGCAAGCTCAGGACGTTCCTCCCTGCAGCAGAGATCACGTCCAATGTGACTCTGAGGCTCACTATCGAGGCTGAGGGCTGCACAAGCGCCACACAGACGACACTCTACCCATTAACAACAGGAGGGGGCCAGCTCCCTCTGGCTTTGCCGCGGACGCCCATGCAGCAAGAGATCGGCATCGCTGACCCACTCACCCTGCGGCTCGACACGGCCACGACGGCTCTGGAGACATGTCCGTCAGCATCAGACGCGAACACCTATCCCTTCTCGGCTCAGCGGTCGCTGAACGTCGATCGGCCTCCGGTGACAGGGAGTGCATCCAGCCCGGTCTTCGCATGGACTGACGTCAACCATCGAACCCATTCCCGCCTGCTGGCTGTCGAGTGGAGCATGTCCCCCCCACAGCCGGATCTCGCCCCCGTCAGCCAGTCGAACCCAGCCGTGTTTTCTCTCCCACCTTTCGCCCTACCCGTCGGCCAGTGGCGTGTGTCGGCCACCGTCTACCAGAGGAGCGAGGGCTCAGAGGCGGACGTGCCAACACAAGTGACGGTGCCATTTGACGTGCATGTCGTGGATCGATGGTCGGAAGCTGACTCGCGGCTGCTGGTGTCTCACTCTCCTGTGGTGGATGCGAGGTGCCCATTCGCCCTGCTGGCTCGTGTCGACCCATCTGTTGTCCTGGAGTTGCCACGCCTCATGAGCGTCACGGTCGAGTGGGCGTGTGAGACTGCGGATGGGATCAGCTGCCCTTTTGCCCTGACGACCGACCAGCTGACTGTCGGTGATGTGCTGCTGCAGAGCGACTTTGTGGGGATCGCTTACACGTCCACACCCACAGCAGGGTCCTATCGCTTCACAGCGACAGCGATGGCGAGGCCGATGGGCGGCTCTCAGTATGTTATTGCAACGACTGTTGCGTGGGTCGAGGCCAAGACGGTTGGCTACCTTGACGGCAGATCTCCGCAGTGTGTCGCTGGAGGCTTCCTACCAACACCGCGGCTCGTGTCTCATCAGGATTTGGGTCTTGATGCGCTGAGAGGCTACGTCGTGACGGAGGCTGCGGCCAGCCCGCCGTCATTGGCTGATGTGCAGTGGTTCGTGACGCCGGCAGATAGCGGTCATGTGGTGGCTTCCGCGGTGTCGGCGAACGAACAGACAATCACACTGTCGTCTCTCACTCTGCAAGAGCTGACGCCTCCTGCCGGATGGAATGCCCTGCAGCTGACGGAAGGAGGAGAATACGTGTGGCGTCTCGGGATTGACCCCTCTCGGTATCAGTACGACAATGGCGGTGTTCTCGCAACGATCGAGGTGGCAAGGAGCGGGGCTCTCCAAGTCAATGCGCCTCCCTTGGTGGGGCAGCTCCCTATGCACGTTGACACCTCCCCTCCCACAGCCGGCATCACCCCGGTGACCCTCAACATCCTCGAGGTCGCCTCCCTGTCCCCATCCCTCGAACACCAGTTTGCCCTCAACACCACCACCATCCAGCCATTCGGCGATCCCTACATCACATGCACCCTTCCCCCAGGCCACTGGACGATACGCGGCATGGCTGTCGACCCCCTCGGTGGGAGAGGCGAGGCGACGACAACAGTCCAGGTGCAGAGCCTTGCCCAGGGGTTGTTCCTGACTCCAACGAATCCCCCAACTCAACAGAAGGTTGTGGATCTGTGGGGGCGGTCGTTCGACAGCTGGGCCAGGAATGCCGTGAGAGTGCTTCTCCGGATTGAGGCTGGGCATCACTCTCCATGGGCCATCCTGCAGACGTGTGCTTCGGTCATCGCTGAGTTGGAAGGTGAGACGCTGGAGGCAAAAGGGAAGGCTTAATGCATTGTGTGCGTGTGCGTGTGCATGTGTTGGCAGAATATCGCGCGGCATTGGATCGGGGCAGGGACGTCGTGAATGTGGCGCTTGTGGCGACTGCTCCTGATCCAGTAAACGCAGCGGCACTCACCGTGGTGCATGACATGAATCCGTGCACGTCTGTTCCCTCGTTCTTGAATCTTGAATCATGTCAGGAGTCGGCCAGGGCCGTCAAGATCAGCTCGGGTGACCTCCTGTCCTCAATCCCGTCCTCCCGCACCCAATGGCTGGATCTGCAGACCACCGCCCTCCACTCGCTGCAGATCACCACACACATACTCTCCTCTCCAGGCATCCTCACAACGCCCCTCGCCCCCTCATCTGCCGCCGGCCGTCTGGCTGAGCTCGGCTCGCGGCTGCTGCTTGCCTACCCTCTGATGCCGCCCACGTCGCATTCTGAGGGCACTGGCGACCTCATCACACTGATTACCGACGGGCTCAATGGCACAGCGGCCGCAGATGGCGACATCGGCATGGATGCCCTGTTGAAAGGCATGGCCCAGGTGGTTGTTGCCTTGGCGAGGGCGACGAGCGAAGCTGAGCTGACACGGTGGATTCGTGGAGACGACGTGGCCAGTGAGGGCACTCAGCTGGTCGGTCAGTCTGCTTACCATGACACCAAGCACCTCGCACGGGCGTACGAGACACAGGCGAAGGCTCTGATGTCGCTCTCGGCCTTTCTCGCGACATCCTACCGAGGACAGCAGATCGTTCTGCAGGGCGGACCTGACTCCTGCATTGTCGTGACGCAGTGGGCGGAAGGCGAGACCGTTTCTCTCAGCGCGACACCGTGCGGGTCATCTGTGAACCTCACCCTCCCCGCCTCCTCCCCTGGCGCACTGCTGCCGTCTGGCCGTCGGCTGTCCACCTCCACGGCTTCGTTCGTGAGCCTGGCCGTCTGGAACGGCGGGTACTTCGGCTCGACAGAGGAGCCGGAGCGCTCTGTGGTCACGGCGGGTCGACTCAGCTCCCTTGTGACACCGGTAATCAGTGTGGCTTTCGGCCCGGTGGGCGGGAATGAGACTGTTTTCGTTGACGAGGTTACCCTGCAGCTGCCCCTTATCTACAACCAAAGTAAGGAAGGGACTACACATATTCAGGACAGGCGTCTTATGTCTCCTTTTTGTTGTGGGGCCATCAGATGACACTTTGAGATTTGCGGATCGCGCACGCTGCGTGTGGTGGCACCCTGGCCTCCAAATGTTTACCTCTCTGTACTGCGGGGCGGCCGTCGACGGCTCCTCTGCCTCTCTCTCGTGCCGCTGCACGCGCCTCACACCCACCATCCTGTACGGCGAGCTCCTCAACGACATTTCTGCGTTCCTTGCCCCTCTGCCCCCTCTGCACATCCGCGATGGCGGCATCGCTGCGCTCTTCTGCATCTGGTCTGTCACCCTCTTTGGCCTGCTGCTGGTCTATGCCGGCCTGGCTTTTGACCGTCACAAGGGGCGCATCAACAAGGCCTTCTGGCTGAAGGCATGGTTCATCGAGGAGGGGGCGGAGGGCGAACAGATAAGGTGGGCGGGGAGGAGGTACCGGACTTACTCTTGGGGCGGCGCTGGAAAGGGGACAAAGGGCAAAGGGGCGCTCTACCAGACCCTCAAGACAATGTCGGGCAGGACGGAAGGCCTCTCAGAAAGCGTGAGAGAGAGAGGGACACGATGGATGGATGCATCAAGTGCAGGATACGTGTGACGTCAAGTGGAGTGGAGTCTTGTGTGCTCAGGTGCGGACTCTCCGAATGATGCGTCGTCGGCAGCAGGGCCGGCAGGACACGAAAGAGGGCTCATCGTCGTCTTCTTCTTCTTCCGCCTCTGGCCGCTCCGCCCGCATGGCCATCGCCAAGAGAATGTTCCTCAGGTCAGTCAGCGGACACATTACATTCACACACAAGGGAGATGCCTGATGCTCCGCTCTGTCTCCTCCCACCATCTTTCTGTACAGGCAGAAGACGACAGACATCGAGAAGGGCCCTGAGGTCTCCCCAGACAGGCCGCCAGGCCCCTCCCCGCCCCCTGCTGACACGGCACCTGTGAAGCCAAAACAGCAGCGGGGCAAATGGGAGGTGCCCCTGCCCAGCTCAGTGCCTGGTGTCCCCGCCCCGCCCCGATCCCCTCCCCGCCAGCTGATGACACAGAAGAGTGAAGGACACGGCAGTGTGTCTGAGTTCGCCGCCTTGCCTCCGCCCCCCGCTCGCTTTGAGAGTGTTGGCGAGCACGCGATGAGCCCACCGGAAAACGGGCAGGAGGGAGCAAAGAAGGAGACCCATGCTGATCAGGAAGCCAAAACTGGTGAGACACACATGTGACTGATCACGCCACCATGTCATGGTGGGTGGATGGATGGATGGATGTGCAGACCTGGCCAGCTCTCTGGCCAGCAGTGCCGGGGGTCAGCGGGGGATCCTCAAGCAGACTGGGGGCCCGGCGAATGGCAACGTGGGCGACAACAATAGCAATAGCCACAACCGGCAAGTGACGATGAAGTCGGACGAGAGAAGCCGGTCGGCCGACGAGAGATCACACGTGACGGTGGTGGAGACATTGCCAGAGGAGGACGAGTGGTCTCAGGCCACAAGCGACCTCGATAGCGAGCTATCACACAAGGTAGGTGCTTGGGGGTCCACACGACGCACTGGGGGGAGGAGGGCTCCCACTCTCTCTCTGTGTGTGTGTGTGTGTGTGTGTTGTCAGCTCAGCTCGATGAAGACATTCGAGTTCACCGGGTGGTCCACCCTCATGACCATCTGCCTTGTCTTGTGGAAGCGGCACCCATTGCTCTCCCTCTTCACCATGAACCCACACATCGGCGCAGTCAAGAGGTGCCTGAACGTTTGTGTTGCTGGGAGAGAGACATCTCATCTCATTCGACCCTTCATGAATTTCTTCTGCAGAGCGCTGCTCCGTTTTGCCCACATAGCGAGCAGCGCCGCCATATTCTCTGCACTCTTCGCCTTCGCGCGGGCGTCGATCGCTGGCGACTGGTCGCCCAATTTCCGCCAGACCGTTGAGAGTGATGCCTCCAGACGGGTGTCGCTGGGATGCCATCGGGACCTTCTGCTGTTCTTCCTCCCTGTGCTGAGCGATTTGTTGGCGTATGCCTTGAGCCCGTCTAGTTACTTGTACGTGTTGGTGATGCGGAAGAGGGTCTATGTGGAGATCCTCTCGCCTGTGCAAAAAGACGACATTGTCAACCTGTGAGCAAAGCCAATGTGTGTGGATCGCTGCCCATCTCCTCTGTGTGTGTGTGATTGTCAGGTGGCGTCTCCGCGACCGTCTGTCGTGTGTGTTGCTGTGGCTGTGGATCGTGTCTTGTGGGTTCGTCATCCCCCACGCCATCCTCCTCTCTGGCGGATTCGACAGTGTGGAGGGGCCATTCGCCAGCGGCCTGGCCCTCACTGTCTTCCTCTGGTGGCCCATCGCCACACCATTGCTGGTCAGACCCACACACAACACAAGAGAAACACCAAACACCTCGTGGACCCTTTTGTGTGTGTCTCCCTCTGTGTGTGTGGGCAGCTGCTAAGCACCCAGGTCATGCTTCTTCGGCTAGTGCTGTCTTATGACTGTGTCGACGGCCTGCTCACTCTGCTGCCCGGCCTGATGGACTTCTCGTGGATCCTATCCGGCGACAGACATGACCTCGTTGAGGAGATCAGACATTTGCACTACGAGACACACACGCTAGCTGAGGAGCTGAAGATGGCCCGGTTGCGCAAGCTCACTCGGCTGGCCACACGTGCGCAGGGGCCGGAGGGAGAGAGGCTGCGGGCTATGATAAGCAGGATGGGGCCGAGAGTCAGCGGTGAACCGGCGGCAACCATTGGAGAGGAGAGCGATGGGTCGGCTGTAGTGGCGGCTGGGGACGTGGCAGGGGTAGCGAAAGAAGGAGGAAACGGCGCAGCGATGCCAGCTGGGTGAGGTGACGTGTGTGTGCGTGTGTCCGCGGGCTTGACGCTTGTTGTTATGCGTCAAGAGTGTATGTATGCGCAAGCAAGCTGGTGGGGTGTTTGTCTCCCAATGCATTCAATGGTGTTCGTGTGTCACACATCGCGGAAGGAAGCAACATTTGATTGGTCAATGAGTGAGCATGTCGCCATCTCAATGAGGCACACGTGTGTCGCACCCTCCCCCTCCCCCATCCGTCCATCCATCCATCCATCCACCCACCATGCTCTCGCCACGCGCACCACTCACTGAACCAATCTCCTACTCTTGCCCTTGCACTTGGCCTCCCTCCTGCGTCAGTGTCGTGCGCCTCTTCCGTCTCGCACACCCCCACGCCATGGGCAGCCACACATGCGGTTCATGCACGTGTGGACGACCATGACGTGGCTGTGCGCTAAATGGAAGAGGCCACACTGATGACACAGACTGACTGACAAGGCACCAGCCAGCAGATCCCGAGAGAGAGGAAGGAACGGGGCGGACGGTGTATCTCGGAAAAGGCTCGTTCGGTCCGTCGCAGTACAGCGGATAGGCCGCAAGCAGACATACCAAGCCACACACAGACAAACACACACACACACGTACTCACTACATCCATACAGACAGACAGACAGATAGACGTACAAACGTGTGGGCAGGCAGGCAGTCAAACAGACAGCAGCGCTCTATAGATATCGATCGGTCACAGATATATATACGTCATGTGCACCCACCAAGAGCCACGCCCGCGCATGCAGCAATCTGTCTGACAGACAGACCACTCAGTGGACCGCTTGATTGATATAGGCAGCTAGACAGACAGGCAGACAGACAGACAGATAGGCAGGCAGGGGGGCACTCTGTACAGTCCGTCCGTCCGTCAGTCAGCAAAACCGAGCGAGCAAGCGACCAGCCAGCCAGCCAGGCAACTTACACAAGCGACCCCCTCGCCAGGCCAGCCAGCAGCCGCACCAAAACAAGACACCACACACCCAGATAGACAGAAGGTCAAGACAGCAAGATCAGGTCAGACCCCCCAACGCCCTCAGTCAGTCAGACAGTCAGTAGGTCTTTGCGAGGTCCTTGCGTCCGCAGAATTTGGCCGCCAGTCCCCTGCCCAGCCCCGTCACGATCTTGTACCCCCAGAAGAACGACACCGCCTGCAGCCCAAACGCCCCGCCCTTCACCATCCACGTGTTCTTGTCGCTCACTATCGTCCGGTACGTCAGAACCGGAGCCGGGCCGAACCGAGCCCCCAGAAACACGATGCAGAACCAAAGCGACACCCAGTCGTAGGCCGACAGCCGCAGGGGGGACCGCTTCCGCTTCTCGGATTGTGAGGGGTCGTTGTGCGCTGGGGGCTGTGGCGGTGGTGGCTGTGGTGATGATGGGTTCTTGTCGCGTTGTTCTCTGAGGAAGTGTCTTGCGATGAGGAGGGGGGTGGAGAGCTCTGCGATGAAGGTGCAGTAGACGAGCTCCGTACCCGACTTGTCGTCACGCAAACACGACAGCAGGCCCACGATGCTCGAAAAGTGATGCAGAGTCATCCCCCAGTGACCTGACGACACATCACACCGCACCACCACACCAACACACACATGCCATGCGACTCTATCCTGTCTGTGTCATGACCTCCCTCCCTCTCTCATCTCACTAGCTAAGCTCACCGAGTGTGGTGGCGACTCCGAGGTCATAGAAGAAGTAGCCCGCCCCGATCTGCAGGAGCCTCCTCTGCATGGGCAGCATCTGCGCCCCGATCTCGCTGTGGAGGTTCTCTGTCCACACGACATAGCCGCCCAGGGTGATGCAGAGGACGCTGTGCAGGGCGGTGACCATTTTGTTGATGGGCTCGATGGTCCGCTTGGGGTAGAAGCTCTTTAAAATGAAGTGCAGCAGCACCCACACGCACACCTGCGACAGGATGGGGCCCCATATCGACGCTGACAGCCACTCGCTGCCCGCAAGCATGTCCAACGTGGCTTCTTAGAGGGTGGGTGCTGCTCAACACATCCACCGATGCGAGCTTGGCCTTCCTTTGCGAGCTAAGACAAAAAAGCGAGTGAAAATGATGTGCGCAGGAACGTAGCTGCGGCTGGCTCCCCATCTCCCCACTCAGTCTGCCCCAAACAAGGGCAAACAGTCGTGGTGTTAGGATAGTAAGAGGGTTCGCTCCCTGGTGGAATCGAATCAGCCTCTCTGACAGTGTCTGTCTTATCGCTGACGACAATTGGCTGACGACGATGGAGACCCTTATCGTCTATTCGCTGTGGGCGCTGTCAACGCTGGGCTTCACTCTCATCTCCCTCAAGAGGTCAAAAGGACCGAGGGACAGACGATAGAGAAAAGAGAGAAAGTGTCCTTCCTCTCTCTCTCTCTCTCTCTCTGTGTGTGTGTGTGTGTGTATGTGTGTCAGGCTTGTGCTGACGTTCTTGTGGATCATCCAGTCGTTCATATCGGTGCTTGTCCATGAAGTGGCCGACTCCGCCGTGGCCTGCGGCATGGCCATCACCTGCGCCTGGGCTATCAACGTCGGCTGGTTCAGCGCGCGGCTGGCACACGGCACACTTTGGCAGTCAATCCTCACGTAGGACACACAGACAGAGAGGCCGCCTGTCCAACCAAGCGGTTGGTGCGGATTGTCTGTCTGTCTGTCTGTGTGTGTGTCGTCAGATACTGGCATCAGGCGTTTCCGAACCAGCCGAAGTCGGTGGTGTCATGGTGCGTGTTTGTGGGTGACGTGATGCTGCACCCCCTGATGCTGTTCCTGCTGCTGCGGTACACCGACGAGATCTCCCCCATCCAGGGGCTCATATGCTTCTTCTCCATCCGGCTCTACCTCCTGCTCATCGAGGGCGGCTGGTTCCCCGACGGACACGCCCTCAATGCCCTGTACAAGTTCCTGCCGCCACAGCCCGAGCACGTCTTCTACTCTATGTATATCGGTCAGCCAGCCGACCCCCACACACAGAGGGAAAGGAGAGGAGAGCGGACGCAGTTAGTTAACTCGTGTGTGTCGGTCGGCTGGTGTGTAGGTGAGGTGGCAGCGGAGCTGTACATTCTCTTCGGCATCATCCCGTCCAGCGCTCTCCGCTTCTCTTTCCGCGCCCTTGTGGTCATGGCCTGGCTCTACGGCCTCATCTACACCGGCAGGCGGTCATGGATACAGCCGCTCAAGAGGTTCCTCCTCCACACCACTCAGCACAGGAGGAAAACCGCCGACGCCTTCCCTTCAGCCAGTGGTGTCGCTAGCGACGGTGGAGCGGGGGCTGTGTGCGGGGGGAATGGGAATGGGAGCGGGAGGAGCGACCTGTGCGGGTCGCCGCGTGTGAGGCGGATGAGGGCCTGCCACTCAGTGCCCGATGTGCACATGGTCAGTGAGTGTGTGACCATCACACCATTTTCGTGGCGCGCAATGTCTCTCTCTCTCTCTCTCTGTGTGTGTGTGTGTGTGTGTGTGCAGAGCGGAGTGGCGGTGTCGGCGCGCAAGCTGGTGGAGGCGACGTGGACCCTCGCAGGGGCCGACCTGTTGATGCCGGTCGACGACGGCCGGCTTCGCTCGACCTCGCCGTCGGGCCCCCTCAGCCCTCTGCTGCCCACTGGCACCCCAGGGCCAGGCGACAGGACATGACTGACACACGCACCACGGACGGACGGACGGAGAGGGGAGAGAGAATTTGGCTAGCTGCGGTTCGGTGGTTGGCTTGGCTTTGCTTGGCTGGTGCGGCTGATGATTGTTTGAGGGATTGTGGCATGGCATCGATTATGACTTGCTGGAGAGAGAGCTTCACTGCTTGCTGGGCGGACGGAGCGGCCTGACTCTCTGCTCGTTGCCGTCCGCTCCTCGAGAGTGTGTGTCTTTTTTGTGCCGTTCGTCCGTCTGTCTGTCTGTCTGCCTGTCTATAGAGTGATGCGCATCGCGTCCATTGATCCTTCATGTGCCCGAGGACACGGGGGGGCCGAGCGCACTCTAGTGACTGACGCCCTCTCCCTCTCCCCTTCACGCAGCCTCGCTTGTTTCTTTGTTTCTTTGTTTATCTCTCTCTCTCTCTCTCTGTGTGTGTGTGTGTGTATGGGTTTGCTTTTCATCCGGCCTCTTTTTTCCGGCACTCGTCGGCCATTTGCGTCCGTCTGTGTCTGTCTGTCTGTGTATGGTCGGTGTTGCGTCAGTCAGGTGTGTGTACTTTACGTGGGGCGCCGGGGAGTGTCACTGTGTCGGTGTGAACCGCTTGTGGCCGTGGCCGTGTGTGTGATCTTTTTGGGCTACCTGAATGACTCACTGGTGGATGGATGGATGTGGCGGCCGGCCGTCGGTCAGTGCAGTGGCTGTGCTGCATATGGCCAGCTGCCCGGCCACCACCCAGGGTGGCTTTGGTGTGTTTGGTTGGCGTGTACGTGTTGCGCAGGGGGGAAGGGGGAGGGTGGGAGGGGGAGAGAGAGACAGGGACAGAGACAGAGACAGAGAGAGAGGGACACGCTTCCAGAGAGAGAGAGAGAGAGAGATACACCACGCGAGGATGCCAGTAGAGTAAACTCTTTATGACGGTTGGTGTCTTGGTGTGGTGGTGCAGCAGTGCATCCTTGCGTCGATTGCATGCGAGAGAGACGAACAGACCAACAGACAGACAGAGGAGCGCATGGCGTCTCGGTGATGCTCGTGTGTTGCGGTGTGTGGCAAACGAGGTGGCGACGTGTCCCTCGACGCTCGGTGGTGAGTGTCTGTCGAGGGGTACGTCGCCGATGGTGGGGCCACGACACACAAAAACACGATGATAACTGAAACAATGGAATGAATCTCAATGAATGAATGAATCAGTGAATGGATGACCGAGAAATGGATCGATGGATGGATCGATGGATGGGCGAACCAGCCACAGCCAGTCAGTCCATCTACACAAGACATACATACACCTAGACCATGTGTGCACAGACAATAACGGCTGGCAACGGAACCCTGCAGGGTTTCAAACCCTGCAACCCCAGCGGGCAGATCTGCGCATCCGACTCACTCATCAAACCGGCAAGTGCAGCGCACCCACGGGCACAAATCGACGCGCATTCTCACCGGGTCGAAAGATCTCTGCCGTCGTTGCCTCTTTTGTGGTCATCGCGCAGGTGGCTCAGACAGAGAGAATGGCTCCCTGGCGGACGGCTTTCTCTTTCTCTCTGCCGCACCGGCTGGTGGACAACCCGCTGCTGCTGACTATCGGCAGGTTCGACGGCCGCCACCCGTCGCTCGTGGCCGCAACCACACCCACACAGCTGCTCATCCACTCAACCACACAGACGTACGTACTTGCGGCGCAAACAGAGCAGAAGAGGCTGTGCCTTCATGGACTGATTTGTTGTGTGTGTGTTTGTGTGTCTGTCTGTCTGTCTGTCAGGGCTGGAGGCGGGGTGAGTTTGTTGAACGTTGGCGAGAGCGTGACGTGTGTGGATGCGGGGCGGCTGCACCCGACGCTGGGGCGGGACTGGTTGCTCATCGGCACGGCACAGCAGCTGCGCGTCTATGACGTGCATGAGAACCAGGTCAGTCAGCCCAGCGACACCCATACCTGCACACTAGGGGGGAAGGGGGAGAGGGAGGGAGAGAGAAACGCCCTGACACAGACACCCAGGTGTGTGTGGTTGTGGTTGTGGTTGTGGTTGTGTTTGTGTTTGTGTGGTTAGGACATCTTCACAGTAGAGGTCTCGGATGGCGCGAGTGTCGTCCGCTGCCTGCCCATCGCAGGACATCCGGCCGAGGGAGGCAATGTGCTCGCCATCGTCGGTAGGCCCACCTGCACACATCCACCCACGGTGTGTTGTGTGCAGGGGTGCGTGTGCGTGTGTGTGTGCAGGTGGCAACTGCAGTGTGTTGGGTTTTGACGACACTGGTGTGGAGGTGTTCTGGACGGTCACGGGCGACACCGTCCGCACCATGGCCGCTGGCAGGGTCACCGCCAACGACGCAAAGCCCACCAGCAAACTGCTGATAGGCAAGCGAAGCGAACAAACTGCTGATAGGCAAACACCAGTCCATCCTTGTGTGTGTGCAGGAACGGACGACTACGCCATCCGCGTGTATGAGCGAGAGGAGGCCCTCCACGAGATCGCCGAGACCGAGGCCGTCGCACAAGTCGTCGCCATCCCGTCAGTGAGCCACACCTGACACCCACCATCCTGCCCCGGAAACCAACACACCTCCCCACCCCACCGCTCGATCGCTTTGCTTGTGATGGATGCAATGCAATGCAGCGATTACGGCTTCGCGTACCTGCTGGACAACCACACCTATGGCGTGTACGCCATCGCCTCCCCCACATCCCCCCCCACACGCGTGTGGCGGCACAAGAAGGGCGGCAGTGGCGGCGGTGGGCGTGCCGTCGTGGCCATCTGTGTTATGGATGTGGACGGCGACGGGCAGAACGAACTCATATGCGGGTGCGTCTCATGACCACGAAAGAAACCAAGTGTGTGCGCGTGTGTTAGGTATGAGGACGGTCGTGTGGAGGTGCGGCACATCGCCACAGGAGTCGTTGTGGGCGAGGAGCCGGCGGCACCAAGCGCGACAGACACCCACCCCGGGCGACTGCTGGGCTTGATGGCGTACGACTACCGCGGCGACGGACACATGAACCTCATCGCCGTCAACACCAATGTCCGTCCGTCCGTCGACCCGACCGGGCCACACACCCACACACACACCCAGATGCCCATCCATCCTGTGGTGTGGTGTCTGTCGTGTGTAGGGTGATGTGAGGGGGTGGGTGGCGGCCCCTGACACGGACCGCCTGCAGAAGGAACTGCAGAGGGCGCCTCAGAAGCGGCGGAGTCGGCTGGGACGGGGTGGGGGCGAGGTGGACACATACGCAACTGCGGCAGAGGCCAACGAAGCCTACAGGTGATGTGTCGACGGACTGGTTCCCATCTATCTCATCTTCTCTCTCTTTGTGTGTGTGGTTCTGGTAGGTCTCTGCTGCGCGAGAAGCAGACCCTGCTGAAGGAGCTGACTTCCTACGAGGCCAACATGAAGGCCCTGACCACCACCAGCCACGAGGCGTCTCCATCATCGGCAGGGGTCATCCCGCCCGACACACAGCTCACCTGGACACTCCTCCCCAATGCAGCTGAGGTTAGGGATGGAAAGACACACAGACACAGACACACAGACACTCTGTGTGTGTGGTGGGTGTCAGGGGGCGGTGGAGCTGACTCTGCAGCTGAGCAACCACTGCGTCATCAGGGCGGTGGTGCTGTTGGGCGAGGGGCTGTTCGAAGGCGACTGCTGCACGCTGCACCCGATGCCGCCGGCAAACAACGTAACGCACCCATCCCCCTCCCACACACAGCCAAGCACCCCTCTCCCTCTCCCTCTCTCTCTCTGTGTGTGTGTGTGTGTGTGTGTCAGGTGACAGTGCGGATCGCCCCTGCCCGCAATGTGTCGACATCGCTGAGCGTCCGGGCCTTCGTCGGCCTGTCGGCGTCATCCACACAATACCACCTATTCGAGGTGGGTGCCCTGCGCTGTGCCACACATAGACAGACCTGCACACACGCACATGAGCGTCTGTGTGTGCGTGTGTGTCAGCTGGAGGTGGCCTTCCCCAAGTTCGCCATGTACGCGGCAGTGACGCCCGACACAGAGACCTTCAACCAGTACACCGCCATGGTACGTCATCCCTCCCTCCCTCCCTCCCTATGTGGCTTTGGGGGTGGTGTGCAGAAGGAGGAGTCCTACGTCGTATTTGACGCACCTGAAGAGGCAGCAAAGGTGACACTCGTGTGGGTCAGTCTCCATTCACCACTTTCTGTATGTGTGTGTGTGTGTGTGTGTCTCGCAGTTTGTCGGCTGGTTCGAGCACGCCTTCGCGCTTAGCCCTGATGACCGAACCAGAGTGCGGCAAGCACTGAGGGCATGCAAGCAGCCAGGTAGGTAACCCCACAAACACTGTACGCCAACATGCCGCGGTGGCTGTGGCTGTCTGTCAGGCGGCTGTGCAGAGGTGGTCTTCACTTCCCTCCGACCAGCCAAGGACACAAACGACCAGCCAGGTAACCCATTCC